ACCTGCCACTTCGCTTACTACTACAGCCTTCAAGGGATGTTGGACTGCGGGTTTCGGCCCAATCCTCGCAGGCCAGGCTGAGGGACCCCACCAGTGCACAAATGCGTGCACCAGGCCTCTAGTTTCTAATATAATTTGCAATTTTAATCATATTAAAATAGCATCTTTATTCAGCAAATATTTGAGTCATTCAGTATATATAAGTATATACTATTTTCAGATAATGGATTGATACTATGTTTTTTAAGCTTTTTAAAATACTAACCTCTAGAAACTTAAAGCACTTTAATGCTTAAGGGTCTGTAATGGGAAATCCTAGAATACAACTTTTTTTCTCATGTGAAAAATATTTGAGTGACAATTCTATATAAAGCTTATTTGTAAGGTAGATAAATGATATATAGATACCTCATTTTGTATTGCCTTTTATGTGTGTACTTTTTCAGTTAATTTTTTTTTAATCCTTACCTGAGGATATTTTTTCCATCAATTTTTATTATTTTTAAAAAATATTTTTTTATTGATTTCTGAGAGGAAGGGAGGAGGGGAGAGAGAGAGAGAGAAACATCAATGATGAGAGAGAATCATTAATTGATTAGCTGAGAGAGACACATGGATTGTTGATTCCCACATGCACCCTGACCAGGGCTGGGATTGAAGCTGCAACCCAGGTACATACCCTTGACCAGAATCAAACCCAGGACCCTTTGGTGCTTGGGCTGGCACTCTAACCACTGAGCAAACCGGCCAGTACTTTTTCAGTTAATTTTTCATGAAAGACTACTTTCATTAAAACTAGGCTTTGTCCAAACTTTCAGTGACTCTCCATTTTGTTCATTGTAAATTCCAGATATTTTTGCCAATGAAAAGGCCCCATAATTTCAAACTTTATTTTTCATCCTTTTTCATATTCAGTGAGATTAATATGTTTCACGGATATAGGCCTTTGCTTGCTCCCCATGGTTCTAATCCTTTTTGCCTATGTAATTAATACCCATCTTTCTTGCTTCCAGTTCTGAATCAACTTCTTCAATAAAATCTTTTGTCAATTATCCACCATGACTATACGTGATCTCACAAACTATTTTATTTCTTGTAAGAAAAGTCAGGCCGTAACCGGTTTGGCTCAATGGATAGAGCGTCGGCCTGTGGATTGAAGGGTCCCAGGTTCGATTCCGGTCAAGGGCATGTACCTTGGTTGTGGGCACATCCCCAGTGGGGAGTGTGCAGGAGGCAGCTGGTCGATGTTTCGCTCTCATCGATGTTTCTAACTCTCTATCCCTCTCCCTTTTTCTCTGTAAAAAAAAATCAATAAAATATTTTTTTTTAAAGAAAAGTCAGCAATACTGAATACTTTAAAGTAGAACAAATATCCTTCATTCCTAGTTCAGCCCTCCAGAGGAGAACCTCTTAATACCTTTGATTTCTTGATATCATATATTTTAACATATATGACTTATTTGATTATCAATTGATTTTTCTTTTGGCAAGAATATTTCAGGAATGGTCAATATACTTCATATTGCAACAAACAGGAAGCATATACTATCTAGTGGTCTTTTCATGTGATAGTTAAATGGATCAGTGATTGAGGTATTGTCAACTCATACCGAATATTTTACTATTTCACTAAATGATCTATCTCATTCTTTTAAAGTGTCATCAATTGCCCCAGGGAGTTTGGCTCAGTGGATAGAGTGTTGACCTGCGGAGTAAAGGATCATGGGTTTGATTCCAGTTAAGGGCACGTAATTCGGTTGCACACTAGATCCTTAGACCCAATGCAAGATGCAACCAATGGATGTGTCTCTCTCACATTGAAGTTTTTCTCTCTCTGACTCTCCCTCTCTCTTCCACTCTCTCTAAAATTCAATGTAAAAAATTCCTCAGGTGAGGATTAACAAAAAATAAAATCAAATCAAAATGAATTGTCATAGATAGCTACTTGACTATTACCATAGTAAGATGACATGTAGATGTTAAAAGGTTAGGCTCTAGAGCAGCCGTGGGCAAACTACAGCCCGAGATCCTGCCGGTTTGAAATGAATAAAACTAAAAAAAAAAAAGACCGTACCCTTTTATGTAATGATGTTTACTTTGAATTTATATTAGTTCACACAAACACTCCATCCATGCTTTTGTTCCGGCCCTCCGGTCCAGTTTAAGAACCCATTGTGGCCCTCCAGTCAAAAAGTTTGCCCACCCCTGGGCTAGAGCTTCCCTGACTGCCATTTATGTCCTTTGGCAAATGATCTTTAATGCCTCAGTTTTTTCTACTCTGAGTTAGGTGCCTCATAGGGTTGTTTCAAGGATTAAATATTTTAAGTGTTTAAAACAGTGCGTAAAGTATACATGGTAAGTGTCAGGAAATACTAGCTACTGACATTGATTTAGAAATTTTATTTTGCTGTTTATGCACTGGAATTTATTTTCATGGAAAATGCTTTATTGGATGATACTGTAGTCTACCAGTGAATCAAGATCACATTGTAGGAAAGCAGTGCCATTTAAATAACAAATCTCATATTTTTCATATCATATATGATTTTTAATAAGAAAACATTACCAGAGAAGGGGACTTGTTAACATAACACTTGAGTCTATAATGAAGAAAATAAGTGTTTCATATATAATATATCCTAGTTATATGAAAGAAAATTGGTGAAAGAGAAAAAGAAATGAGTGACCCCATCGATGGCTTTTGACTCTGAAAGGCTGTTCAGTTCCTTGGCATGGGAGTTAAAAATGAGCGTACACATTCCTATTTAATTTGAGAAAGAAGTTTCTAAAAATTCATAGCAGTTATGCAAACAAAGTAACTTTCAGATTAACAAAGATGTGGATAGAAGGGGAGATGCAGATATAAAATTATAAACAGCAGCAGGAACCATAAAGTAGTTTACAGAAACTACTGAAGTTTACAGAAAATGTGTAAGAAAAAAATTATTTTTTAAGTAATATCTCAAATAAAATTAAGCTTTAACAGCATCAAATTTTTAAGAGGGATGGAAGCATCAGTTCACATTTTGCTAATGTCTGATTTAGTATTGATAAATAATCTTTGAGTTGGAAAAGCAAATCTATAATAATAACAGCTTAATATACTAATTAGACTGGACGTCCTTCCCTATGTCCTTCCGGACGAAGCCAGGGCGGCAGCCAGGGGATGGAGGCAGCCGCTGCGGCTGCGAAGGCCTAGAATTCTCTTGCAAGAATTTTGTGCGCCGGGCCTCTAGTAATAATATAAAAAGAATCATAGGCATAATAAGAAAGCACAGCCATAAATGAAACCATGGATTACTCTAAAGTATATTGAATTTTTTTCATTTAAATTAATGTCTTCTCTAGTTGCCAGTGGGCTTGCAAATTTACTCCTGAAATCAATGAGCAAATCTGAGAATTTCATGAAAAATGTACATATGTATTACGTGGTGATGAGAAAGCAGTAGCTTTATTTTTAAAAAATTTTTTTAAATATTTATTAAATTGATTGGGGTAACATTGGTCAACATGAACAAATTAAATCATAAGGTCATAAACTTTTTTTAGAAAGGGAAAATGTGGGTTCTGGAAATTAAAAGCCATAATGGTTCCCTATTTACCCATGACCCCCAGTAGATGCCTGAAACCATGGATAGTACAGAACCCTGTATATATATTATGTTTTTTCTATACAGACATACCTATGATCAAGTTTAATTTATAAATTAGGTACAGTAAGAGATTAGCAACAGTAACTAATGATAAAATAGAACCATTATAACAACCTACTATAATAAAAAATTATGTGAGTGTAGTCTCTCGGTCTCAAAATATTTTATTATATTACTAGAGGCCCGATGCATGAAAATTCATGCACGAGTAGGCCTTCCTTCCCCCGGCTGCCGACACCAGCTTCCCTCCGGCACCCGCAATCCGGGCTGCTTTGCTATGGCCCCAGCTTCATCTGGAAGGCTGTCTGGAATGATGCCCAGAAGGATGCTTGGTCTAATTAGCATATTACCCTTTTATTATTATAGATACTTACCCTTCTTGTGAAGATATAAGATGATACAATAACGTACCTGATAAGGTGAAGTGAGGTGAATGATGTATGCATTGTGACATAGCCTTAGGCTACTATTGACTTTCTGACAATGGTCAGAAGGTGAACACTGTGAACACAAGCCCTGCCTTATGATAACCTAGAAGACTACTGAAAGACTGCTATCTGATAACCCATAGGACTACTAGACTAAAAGGGATGATTTGTGTCCCACCAGGATGGCTTGAGATTTCATCACACTACTCAAGACTGGATGCAATTTAAAACTTATAAATTGTTTGTTTCTGGAATTTTCCATTTAATATTTTTGGTCTGCGGTTGACCTTGGGTAACTGAAACCACAGAAAATGAAACTGCAGATAATGGGGTACTATGATAGTAACAGTTTGTAACTTTTAGTGAGGTCTTTAACAGTCTTTGGACATATTATTGGATAAGATATAATGGTGACTTCTTTAAATTTCGAGTAAGTAGGTAGATTTATAAAAGCAAGATCCAAAGTAGGTTGGAATTCAAAACCAGCATTTGATTAGAGGTTCAGTGTCACCCTTGAAAGAGATCTTCAAAGCACTTTAATGTTGGTTATTTTGTGTCACCATTTCCATATTGATTTGTGTGAAGGTTTTGAAAGTAGGTTTATCTGCTTGTAGATTATTCAGAGTTGGACTTGGACAGCTGGTACCTTAGAAGGCAATCAAGAACATCTTCCTAAAACCTTGCCTCATTAATCTAGTGCATTTCTATCTTCCTCTCTCCTACCATACTTTGATATGTAATAGAAATTCACAATTTAGTTCGCTTTAAGGGAAAAAGTGACCTTTCTTTTGTCTGCCTAATATTTTTACCAATTACTGTATGAATCGTATGTGTCCCTTTTATAGCATAATATCCTTAATGATACAAATTTAAGATATTAAGAAAGTCTCTGCATAAAATATGTTTTTATCTACTCTAGGAATATGAAGCACGAACAGGGAGGGCCTGTAAACCTCCACCTCAGTCTTCAAGACGTAAGAATTTCGAATTTGAGCCACTTTCTACCACTGCCCTCATTCTTGAGGATCGACCATCGTAAGTAGTCTAGTGCTCATCAGGCACACAGTTTATATTTTAAACTTTAATTTTGCTTACTATTTTACACAAAATATATCAAGAAATTAGAGAAATTGATTTTTAAAAATTTTTAAATCCCAGAAACATATCCTAAAACTAATAAGAAGGACTATATTGTTGATGTTCAAGCTTAGGCATACTTTCTAGAAGTCTCTATGAGCCCATGTCTGAGACATAAATTTTGGCTTTTTATATTTGTTTCCATTTTGACCATTCTCTGTCTTACCTTAATATGATAAGGCAATTGTTTTTTCTTTCTTGACATTTAATATGTACTTAAGGTATATTTGTCCTTGCCTTTTGAACAATTTTTGAAATTGGAACTTGAAATGTTAAGTACTGACTGTCAACCAGTTGGTTTACTGTCACTAAGAATGCATTTTTAATACCCTAAAAAAATCTTAAATTCTTCTCTTCCCATTTCTGCCACAAAGTTGCTATTCTTCAAAATATTGTCTCTTGATTTCTTACCAAACAAAGCACACTTCCCTAAAACAAGATCTCTTGGTTCTTAAATCCTTTTCCCTTCTTGAGCTCTCAGAATCTATTCTTTTTCTTTTAGCCTTCTCTTTCCTTCCAGTGCAATAATTTCTAACCTTTTTTATCATTTCCCTTCTCTGTAGCTTTTTCTATCCATTATCCTAAAGAGCATAATCAAAGGATCTGGAACCAAACAGTCAGAGGTTGAATATTTTTTAGACATTGTGAGAGAAGAAGTACATTATTTTTCAATTCTTGTTGCATTTGTTTATGCTAAAGAATTGTGATCCCAGTGCTCCTTTTTCTTTTTTTGTAAGGATTTGGTGAATACGTTCATATTATTTTTCCTTTGGTTTTATTTGTCTTGATGAGGCGAATGAATCAGGCCAATTCAAAGAGTGTTTAGGTAAGCGAGAAAAGATCTTTTGACTCCTGACTGACAGTCAGCTGAGTAGGTAGATAACCAAGCTCCCAGAAGAGCTTTCTTAAACTTGTTAAAATTCATCCAAAATAGATTAAACTTTTTACCAGGAATGTTAATTTCTTCCCTGAAGGAGTTTATAAAAATACTATACAAAAAGTTCTGTGCTAGATAGTCTTTGGGACAAATTTTAATTTACACCATCCTCTTATTTTACAAGTCTCACCTTCATGCCTTTGCTCACGTTATTGCCTTCTATTGGAATACAGTTACCTTATTTTTACTGCTCACATACCTAAGCCTTTAGAGATTAGGCTTTATCTTTTCTATCAAGTCAAGTCTTTGTTGACATCTTCCCTCTTATTCCTTTACTAGAGGCCTGGCGCACGAAATTCATGCACTGGTATAGTCCCTAGGCCTGGCCTGTGTTTAGGGCCATCTTCCCCAGCTGCTGGCAGCTGGGCCCACCCCCTGCCACCACCCACCCCTTGTTCCCCGTTTGCCATTGGGTGATCGGAGTCTGCCGGCCAGCAGGGAGGGACCAAGAGGTGGCCAGTGTGCCTCACAGTGACTGGTCAAGTGGTCATTCTGATTGTTCTGCCATTCGGTCAATTTGCGTATTACTCTCTTATATATATTTAGATGTGCTCCAATCCTTCCACTACCGGGGAAAGGGGCAGAGGAGGGTTGCTGAAAGTGATAAGGGAGCAGCAGGGTGAACTTTTTTGGGGGGAAGGGAGAGTTTCCTCCTGATGAGGGACTTCAAAGGACAGCAGCCTACTTCTGCTACCCTCTGTCTCCAGAGACACAATTTCTGATTGGCATCTGGCAGGACAGAGCAGTTGCAGGTATAGGACTGGGATTGCCTTTCTGTATGCAGTTCCCTGGAGAGTCTCTTCCAGCCAAGGAAAGCTTTGTTCTAACCATTTTTCCCAGAGCCAGGGCTGCTGGGTGGTCTGGGGCAGGAGGGCAAAATGGAGGTAGAGCAGGGCAGGAAGAAGTATAGGGTAGAAGACTAGGGGGTGAGGGAGGGAGAGGGTGAAATCTGTGTGTGGAGGGGGGGAGGACTGGTGCAGAAGGAGAGTTGGGGTCAGCACAGGAAGGTTTAGAGGTACTGGGGGAGTAAGAGGGACCAACAGATGCCAGAACAGGGTAAAGGTTCTACAGAATCAGGTGGGGGTCCGCGAGGGTGAGTATAGACTAAGTCCCTTCCCCAGACCCTGCCATCCCAGGTGGCTAGGGGAGGGGTTCATAGCAAGGCGCTGAGCCCCCTACACTTTGTGTCTGAGGCTCCAGAACCTGTGGCCAACACGCCCACCCCTGCCGAAGTGCTGCCATTTGGAATGCATTTGCAGACACATGGATTGTTTTTAAGTTAATGCTTTTTAATTCACTCTGTTTCCCACTTGTCATTTTTTATTAAAAAGGCGATTCTGCTGGTGTGTGTTCCTTTGCAGGGGGTGACAGGGGTATTCTCCATGGGCAGAGATCCAATGAGAGACAGAGACAAAAGGCCCAGTGACACATGCCCTAATGGGGGCCCCCCGATCAGGGAGGGGATGCCCTGCTGGGGACAGAGCTGGCAGGGGCGAGGGGCCATGGTTGTTCCACCGTTTCCGTCACTGGGTTTTTATTGTATAGAATGGTCTGAAGCAGAAGACTTAACCATTATTCATCCTTGCTACAACATACCTGAAGAATCTTACTAACTTGAGAAGAGAGGAAGAGGTACAATATATAATTTGGAAATTTGTCACATACCTTTCCTCACTCTAACCTGTTGAAAATAATTTTAAAAACTGACTCCAAAAACCAGACATTATTAATACACATTTGGATATGTGATAATACTTAAATGTATTTTTTTGCATATATTTTCACTGACTGTGAAGCCATTAATTTTATAAACCAACTAGAGACCCGGTGCACAAAAATTTGTGCACTCGGGGGGGAGGGGTCCTGCAGCTCGGCCTGTGCCCTGTCACAGTCTGGGACCCCTCAGAGGATGACCACCTGCTGGCTTAGGCCCGCTCCCCCGGGGATTTGGCCTAAGATAGCAATCAGACATCCCTCTGGCAGCCTGGCAGCCCTCGGGGCATGTCCATTTGCCAGTGAGGAGCAGGCCTAAACTGCAGTCAGACATCCTTAGTGCTGCTGAGGAGGCAGTAGAGGCT